ATACCATGGGAAGGAGATACAGCTGTGGCTGACAGAGAGATGACTTAGAATGAAGGCCACATTTGTTTTCCACACTGCAGTGCATTGTGGGTTTGAATTTTGCAGTGCCACTTCCTAGCTTTATGACCTTGGCCAAGTCTCTGTCTCTTTACCTCTCTGTGCCTCAGTATACTTATCTTTAAAATTATTGTCATGAAGGATGCATGAGATGAAAAATATAAAATGCTTAGCACAATACTTGGTATTTAAGTTGCTCCACAAGTTATAATAGTAGTTTCACTTTAAAAAACGAGATCCCAGGAATAAAGATTACAACTACATTGTTCTAAAGGCTAAAATCAGTCTAATGTACTGGGTCATCTGCAGAGTCCATTTTCAATTATTTATTTGGAAGACAGCAAAAAAGAAGTATTCATGGCTTTTGGAGTTTGACAGTCCTGCATTTGAGTCCCAGTACCTCCACTAACCAGCTGTGTAGCTTATGCAATTTACTTAACCTCCCAAAAAATCAGTTTATGGATCTGCAAAATGGAATAGCATGCCTGTCTTGACAGGGTTGCTGAGAAGCTTAAATAAGATAACAGATGGAAAGTTCCTGGCACAGAGGCAGGCAGTCAAGGACAACCATTGTCGTTTCAACTGTTCAACTGAAAGCTTTTATCTCCCTAAACTTTGGGCTATTAAAGTTCCTTTGTAGAAATTGGAAAATGTGGTCTCAATAAAGCCATGAATTGGAACACAGTCCACATATTGAGGCCAGAGATAAGGGATGCTCTGTACCCAGTTGGAGCCAAATGAGCAAATCTTCCTCCCAGCCTTGGGCAGAGACCTTCACACTTTGTTCTAATGACCAGATCCAGGCACATTTACACAATCCATTTCCTTTCACTATTTTTTTGTCAGAGCTTTAAGATCTATTATTTGTCCTATTTGACCCACCCTCACCAGATCAACTGCAGATCACCTAATTTGGTGAGGAAGTCAATTTAAACACAGAAGAATCTACTGAACCCCAGGGTCAGATGTCATGGGATTGGAGAGCAGAAGCAAGAGTCTAAACTTGCAGCGGTTCTCAACCTGTGGGTCGTGACCCCTTTGGCGGTTGAACGACCCTTTCACAGGGGTCGCCTAAGACCATCCTGCATATCAGATATTTACATTACGATTCATAACAGTAGCAACATTACAGTTATGAAGTAGCAACGAAAATAATTTTATGGTTGGGTCACAACATGAGGAACTGTATTTAAAGGCCCAGAAGGTTGAGAACCACTGGAAAGGAAACCTAAGAGCTACTTCCAGCATCACTCCTGACTGTGTAAGATGAACCTTCTACCTCTCTCCTCTACCCCATTCACTGTTCCATCCGCAAGAAAAAGTCCACAGTGTTCAAATGGAAAGTGCTTCATCTCCAAATCTGAATTGTTTACTTCAAGGAACTCTAGGTATTGGGGCTGTAAATAAGAAGGCAGAAAGGAGCAGGTGAAGTACCTTGGCAGGTTGAAGATGAACTCAGCAGTAAAAGGGAATCAGATTGTTCATTTGCTTTCAAGCAACAGAAGTCAAGAACAAGACCCACAGGAAGCCTTCTAGCCATAATTGACATACTAGTAAGTGAAGTAAAGACCTGCTCTCCAAGAACCAGAAGTCACAGAAAATGGAGGTTTCCCAGCCCCTGGCTTCACAACCCGTTCACTATGGACAGCCCTGCATGCTGTTTCCATGGAGTTGCTACTTCTCTGGGGCCAGTGATGGCAAATCCAGCAAAGGAGAGGTCCCCTCAAGAGCTCACAGAAGGGCAACCTAGCAACATGTCCTGAATCCAGGAAATGAAAGAGCTCTATCAGCAGCAGAGAGCTATGGTTGTGGTTTAGATCCAATTGTTTCGTTCTCACACTTCTTTCTCAAAATCAAATTGAAAGAGGAAGATGCTATAAAGAAATGTTGTAGGGAAAGGGTTCTTAACCATTTCTGGGTGGCTGCTTATTTGAAAATCTACCAAGCTGTGGACTCAGAAAGATAGACAGGGTCCAAATTCTTTGCCAACAATTTCAGGAAAGACCCTAGGTAGGAATGTCTTCTCTGGAGTTGCATCTCATGACAGATATACTGTGGATAGGTACATTGGCAGCAGGCCTACTCACCTGATGTGGTTCACAAATCTCTCTACACCTCAGAATTAACAATGGCAGTATTTAAAAATATAAATCACACTCCCCATTCCAGTCCTAGTAAATCCAAATCCCCCAGAGGTGGGTCTCAGGAATCTACATTTCTCACAAACTCTCCAAAATGATTCTGAGGCAGCCAGCCTTGTACCCACACTTTGGTTAATAGCATGGGTTCTGGCATCAGAGAGATTTGGTCCAAATTTTGGCTTCACCTTGTAATTTCAGGTGTCATTTCACCTCTGAGCTTTATGTCTTTTGGGGCCATAAGATGTAGAAATACTGTTTTACTTTTTAAAAAAATAAACTGGCAACTCGTTTTAGTGTAAAAAAGAGAAAGAAAGTTGCCTTACTTTCCTCTTGGGTATAATGGGTAATGTAAAAGTTGCCCATGTCTCCCCACACCCCTCTCCCTGCAGCCTCCTCATCCCCTCCCTCTGCACTACCAGCACACCAAGACTGCTTGCTGTTGATAAGGTTTGAGAACACCAATGCAAAAAAAGCTCAATTGAGCAAATAGCATTCGGAGAGCAGCAGACTTGGATGCAAAATCGAAGCTGATGCTTATTTGCTATGTGATTCCAGGCAACATACTTAACCTCTCTGTTTCCTTATCTATGAAATAGAGAGAGTACTCCTTGCTGACTATTTCTATGTGATTCTAAATGAGCTCTCCCATCTCCACTTTGGCTCTTCTCCACTAACCCTCAATCTGAGAGTAGGGAGGGAGGAGTGTTCACAAGAGACAGCCTTTGAAATCAGACATGTCGACTTGGGCATGAGCTCTTAGCTCCGCACTTCCTAACCATATTGCCTGGGCGCTTAAGCCCCCTCTCTATTAAATGGGCACTCTGCTACCTTCTTCCCAAGGCTGCTGAGAAGAATCAATGAGTGTTAATGTAAGAGCATCTGCAAGTAGAAAGCGCTCAGTAAATGCTTTCCCCCCTTCCCTCTATACAAAGGTGAGGAACTCTTATTGTTCACTTGATTTCTGTCCCACCTTGTGCTTAAGACATCCAGTCGCAGAGTGCGAAGGAAAGTGAGGTAGAAGGGGAGTGGGAGAAGGGAAGCAAAGAGAAAAGCAACAAACTCACGGGTAAAATGCAAATCGGCCGAGTCCGGTGCTTCCCAGCTGCACTTGACACTGCGCTGGCTCTCGAGCCTGTGTGCCGCAGCCCCCGCGAGTAGCTCCCCCCTTTTGCTAGCTATGGCTTGAGCCGAGGCTGACCAGGAAGGCCGCCCCCGCGTCCCACTGATTGGCCGCGCCGCCAGGCTCATTATGCTCTTTTGTCTCAATGGGCAAAGGCTGAAAGAAGCATGGCTGCTGGGAGGGCCCTGTGGGTAAGCAGGGGCCGCCTCCGCTGCTGTGGGAACTATGAGACCTCAACTCAGCTCCCCCTTGCTGGGCGGTCTTGCAGAGCAGCTCCTTCTAGCAGCCCCAATTCGCTTAGTGGCCTAGGAAGCAACATCCTACCCCCACCCCCGCCTCAGGGCCTCAGAGATCTGAAGGCGGCATACCTTGCTGTCCACTCGGCACCATCCACTGCCCACCGGATGAGTACAGGTAAAGAAAGGGGGTGCGACTGCCTGGTGTGGTGAAAGGCTAAGGGAAGCTCCAGCAGGACTGGGCGGCTCCACGCTTGGGGAATCGAAAACTGTGAGGAGGGGAAGGAGCTCTCCCATAGCCCGTAGAGGGAGGAGGTGGGGGTGTCACTGGATGCTCCCTAGTGGGTAGGATTTGCCTAGACTGAGGAGGGGGGTCGTTTTCAGGAGGGGTAGTTAGGGGAAAGGGGTGGGGATGAATCGCTAGCTATCTGCCTTGAAACCCTTTTCATTTCATCTCTTCCTGGAGGGGAATATGTTGGTGTTCGTTCCAACTCCTATTCCCTTTCTAGGTGGTAGGCCTTCAAAGCCAAATGAGAACTTGAAATCTGTGTGGCTGATTGCAGAGCTGGTAGGCTGAAGATTTCCTTGGGAAAATGTAATGTAGGGGTCGCTTTGGCTTATATTCAGAAGATGGGAGAGAGGATTTTCTGTCTGGATACAGCAGTGGTTGGATGGTTGGGTGGTGGTGGGAATGAGGCTGCTTCTGATTCTTCTCTTCCCTGCCTTGTTCTCCACAATGATGCAATCTGAGAACTGGAATATTCAACCCTGAGTGGTAAAAGGTCGACCTACCCCAGAAAGGAACTTTCTCATGGAGGGCACCTGTTGCAGAGGCTGGAAGTGAAATAAAGGCGTGCCCTTGTTTTCAAGCTCTGGTAAGAATCTGAGAAATAACTGGCAAACTTTGAGAAGGGGTTATAGTTGAAACCTGAGACCAAGAGTTTAATATCATTTATTACCAAAAATCTGTAAGACTTAGACCATTGCACTCTATTTTGAGCACCCAGTTCAACTCCACACACTATTTTACCTGGAATTCCAAGCTACAGTTTGCCCATCCTCCTCCCTCCTGGAGGATTGGTAGGAGGGGATGGATGTGGCTCTGAAAAGCATCCTTGTTAGCATGGGACACCCCCTAGCTCCAGAAGGTTGTAATTGACAGTTTCCTGAAGGATAATTTTAGGGCAGTGGGCAAATATAAAATGTACTGCAGGATGTTCAGGAAGGTTGAGAAACCTATTGCAGGCTGCTTCCCTGAGGTCTACTACCTTATTGACTCCCCCGACCCACCCACCCCCGACCCCCGCCACTTTTTTTACAGCTCTATTGAAATACAAGGAAGGCAGAGCCCAGGAACATTGCTTTGGGAATTCCTCCTGCAGATTAGGCTTTTCTAAAAGCCTGAGCATCTTTTTATGCATATAGGCGATCATTGATCATTTGGTCATGGCTAGCATCATTACTCATGTGGGTAATAGCCAGCGGCAAAACACACCCTTGCCTCCTTGGGCCAATTCCATGTTGAGGTCCTTGGGGAGGAGTCTTGGTCCTTTAAGGTTCAACATGACAGAAAGAAACATGAATTTGTTTTCCGGCAGAGCGGTACCAGCCCAAGGGGAAAAAACCTTTGAAAACTGGCTAATCCAAGTAAATGGGGTCCTGCCAGATTGGAATATGTCTGAGAAGGAGAAGCTCAAGCGCCTGATGAAAACCCTTAGGGGCCCTGCCTGGGAGGTCATGCATTTGCTCCAGGCAGCCAACCCCAACCTAAGTTTGGCAGATTTCTTACAGGCAATGAAATTGGTGTTTGGGGAGTCTGAAAGCAGTATCACTGCCCATGGTAAATTTTTTAACACCCTGCAGGCACAAGGGGAGAAAGCCTCCCTTTATGTGCTCCGTTTAGAAGTACAGCTCCAAAACGCTATTCAGGAAGGGATCATAGCTGAGAAAGATACAAACCAGACTCGCCTGCACCAGCTCCTTTTAGGGGCTGAGCTGAATGGGGACCTGCACTATAGGCTGAAGCATCCTCTCAGGATGTATACAAATGAGCAGGAGCGTCTTCCCAATTTCCTGGAGTTAATCAAGATGATAAGGGAGGAGGAGGATTGGGATGACACTTTCATTAATCGGAAGTGGGCCAGGAGATCTGAGTCAATGGTGGAGAGGCCAACCAGCCCAGTGGCATTTCAGGGTTCCTACAGGTAGTGATCGGCAGTGCTGACTGCAACGTGATAGAGCTAGATGATATCCTCAATGACTCAGATGAGGATGTGATCCTGGTAGACCCTCCACTTCCATCCATGGGTGCCCCTCCCCTCAGAGACAGGGTCCCACCTCAGGATCAGACATTGGTCATTGATTCCCCCAACAGTTCCCAGGTCCAGTCTCCTTCCATCAGTGGTGGTTCCAGGTATAAGAATGATGGTTCTGGGGATATGCGTAGAGCCAGGAAGCGAAAATACACAACCCACTGTTCATATTGTGGAAAGGAGGGCCACTCCAAGGAAACCTGTGACAATGAGAGCAACAAGGCCCAGGTATTTGAGAACCTGATCATCACCTTGCATGAGCTGATACCTACAGAGGAGGAGGGGTCAAAAGAGGTACCCAGTGAAAACAATGACCTCTGAGCCACAGTAAGGTGATAGACCCAGCCCTAAGTGAATCCTTAGATATACTAAAAAACTGGTGATGAGAAAAATGGGAGTAGATTTCTATCTGCATGAATTAATCCATGGAAGAGGAGGTGTTGGATGCCAGCAAAGTGGAGGAGATGGCCTGACCTCTGTCCCTGCTCCCTCTTCTGTCTCCCTAAGGGTCTATTCTCTGTGCCTCTATTTCCTTGCTGACTTTGTTTTATGAAAGGAGTAGAACACTTTGTTAAACCTTTAAAAATGTAGGAAAATAGAAAAACTAAAGTACAAATCACCTGAAACTCTCCACTCATATAGCCATTGTCAGCCCTTTGATGAATGTCCTTTTGTATATTTCCTTATAATTGTGTACCCAGATAAATATATGTATACATAAAAGTGATCAAATATAAGTGCTGTTCTATACTGTGTATTTTTTCACCAAGCACTATATGTGGTGACCTTCTATGTCAATGAATATATATAAGCATCAAGTTTAATGTCTGTGTGTGATATTAATTTTAGGAATATAGAGGAAAAAGAGGAAAACCAAATTTAGAAGCTATAATGAGGAAAGTCATACTCCAAAGTAGAATTTTTAGACATGAAGGGAAGCTGAAAAAGACTTTCATTTTTTTTGCATGTATCTGTCCAATTTTCCCAACACCATTTATTGAAGGGACTGTCTTGACTCCATTGTATGTTCATGTCTCCTTTGTTGAATATTAATTGAGCATAGTGGTTGGGTTGATTTCTGGGTTCTCTATTCTATTCCATTGATCTATATGTCTGTTCTTGTGCCAGTACCAGGCTATTTTGAGAACAGTGGCTTTGTAATACAGCTTGATATCTGGTATTGAGATCCCACCTACTTTGTTCTTCTTTCTCAGGATCGTTGCAGCTATTCAGGGTCTTTTTTTATTCCAGATGAATCTTTGGAAAGTTCGTTCTAGGACTGTGAAATATACCATTGGTATTTTAATGGGGAGTGCATTGAATCTATAGATTGCTTTGGGTAGTATGGACATTTGAAACTGGAGAGCATTATGCTAAGTTAAATAAGCCAGTCAGAGGAAGATAAATATCACAAGATCTCACTCATTTATGGAATATAATGAACAACATAAACTGATGAACAACAACAGATCCAGAGACAGAGAAGTATCAATCAGACCATCAAACCTCAGAGGGAAGGTATGGTAGGGTGGGGGTAAGGGGGAGAGATCAACCAAAGGACTTGTATGCATGCATATAAGCCTAACCAATAGACACAGACAACAGGGGGGTGAAGGCATGAGTGGGGTGAGGGGGGGTTAATGGGGAAATAAGGACATATATGTAATACCTTAATCAATACAGAAATTTTTTAAAAAGACTGAATTCCTCCCAAAGAGCTCCTTATCACAATTGATCTGTCTCTTAAGTCACTGAGTCAAGTCCCCATCCACTTGTTAATAATGTCCCAATGCTTCTCTAATGCATCTGAGAAATCTGATGATGGGACAGGGGTGGGGGCAAAAATGGTAAATGGGTACTTCAGGGGCTCCATTCCTGTTCACTTTGGGAAGGGGCAGCTCTTCCTTTCCTGGGTAGATTTCATAGATTGCTGCTACTGCTGTTTCTGGACAATGCCTGGAAGCAGCAACAAGACTGTCCTTTGGGCTGACACTATCATCTCTGCCTCCTCCCTAATTACACAGAAACTAGCTGCTCTTGGGACCGTGGTACCTGGAGGCTCAGGCCTTCCAAGCCTCACCCTAGCTGCATACTAGAGGACACTAGCAGCCCAAGAATTCCAAGCTTACTTCACCTTGACCCAAGAATGGGAATAGCCAAGGCAGGATGAAAAGCAATCTGGATGTCAGGGCATGTAAAAAAAATAAGGGAATTAGAAAACTCACATACCATTTTAGAATTAAGGGCAATAATAGGAGAGAGAAGACGCAGAAGGACCTTCCTGACCTTCATTTCATGGCCTCAGATTGGAGGGTGATAAATAATTATGTGTGCTCTGGCCACATGGATCAGTTCATTGGAGTGTCATCCTGTACACAAAAAAGTTGTGGGTTTGATTTCGGGTCAGGTATATACCTAGGTTCAGGTTTGGTCCCAGGTCAGTGCGAGTATGGGGGACAACCAATCAATGTTTCTCATGTCTGTGTGTGTGTCTCTCTCTCTCCCTCCTCCCCCTTCTTCTTTCTCTAAAACCAATGGAAATGTATCCTCGGGTGAGAATTTAAAAAAAATGACATGTGACCTCAGTCCCTAAGGGTCCCATGTTTCTTGCAGTTTTATCAATTCCTATCCTTGTGAGCAACACAAGGTTGGTAGGGAGATGATTTCATTTAATGTAGGGAGTGGAGTGAAATAAATGCAGACCTGAGAGAGCTTGTCAGGAAGGAAATAGGGGCTCCAACTAAGCTGAGAGGACAGGGTGCTGCAGTGGGAGATGGTGTGTGAAGAGGAAGCATAGATGTATGAGTAGGAGAGAGGAGGAGGCGGGTGGGGGCAGATGACCAGGCTGGGGACTCACATTTAATTGGACAGGAAGCCTGGTAGGAACTGCAGACCCAGAGGTTTCACACAGAACTCTGGGCCCTGTGGTCCTGAGGGGAGCGAGGTGTTGGAGCTCTAGTTAGCTAGCAGTTGGTGGCCCATTTAATAGGGACAAAGAGGGCTGAGGCCCAGGGGGAGGGAGAGAAGCCAGGCCCTGCAAGAAGCCCACTGCAGCCTTTCCTGGACTGCTGCACCCAGAACCTGACTTAAAGGGCTCCTCCTTCCAGAATCACCCCTCAGCTCCTCCCTGGCTTCTTACTCCTGCTCCATCCAGGATCCCACAATCTCATTTTACAACCCCCCACCCCAAGCCACACACTCACACTCTCTCTTGGTGGAGGCGGGTAGAGGCTCAGCCTCCCCTGCTGTGCCATCACTCCTCCCCCACCCCACATTCCATGTTTGCTGTAAGCCCCACCTCCTCACCCCTTGGCCAGGAGACTGTGAGGGCCCCTCTGCCTGGAACCCTTTAGCTGAGCACTGGCCAGGAGCAAAGGCTAAAGAGGCCCACTCCTTGCATCCCTCTGGGGCCCTGGCAGTGACCTCCATTTCTCCAAAGCCAAAGGGACACCTTCCTCACTCCAGGCAGGAGGTAGCTCCACTCAGGCTCCTAGAGCCACAGGGCCTCCTAATATTCCCCAGCTGTCCTCCCAAGGGACCTCTTCCGCAACTTTTACCCGCACCTAAATAAAGATGAGTGATGAGCCCTGGCTAGTTTTTCTCAGTGGTCTGAGTGTCAGCCAGAGGATTGAAGGGTTGAGGGTTTTGATTCCTGGTCAAGGGCAAGTACCTGGGTTGTGGATTCGATCCCTGGACCTGGTCAGGTTGCCTGTGGGAGCCAACCAATCAATGTGTCTCTCACACAGATGTTTCCCTCTCTTTCTCTCCCTACCCTTCCATTCTATCTGAAAACCAATGGAAAAAATACGAGTGAGGATTAAAAAATAATTAATTAATTAATTAATTAACAAATTTAAAAAAGGTAAGGGAAATGCTGCTCCACTCTTCTACTTCAAAGTGCAATGATTTTCCACATCCTTCCCACATTGAATGACTTACTCAGATAAACAATCCATGCTATCATAATTTCTTTCTGGGCTCAGGTAGAGTAAAAGGAAAAATAAATAAATGCTACACTTTCCACCACCCTCCTTTTCATTGGAGCTGCTTTAGGGTTCAGTATAAATTGCTGCTTTGAAAACTTCTGTGATGCATCCCCTTTCGGCCCTCCTCCATTCTCTTTGTTGTGTAAACTTGAAATTGTTTAAATTTTTATTTCACCAAAATGACGAAAACCAGAAACTTTATTTCACTTTGTGTGACACTGGCTTTTCCTTTATTCAAGAAATATGTATTTTCTTTATTTGGAAGACATGGCACAATAGGGCATTCTGATCAGATTAAGAGTTAGCCAATGTACGACTTTTAGAGAATTTTATGTTTGATAGTCTTCATATAGGTCTTTTCCTTCCTTTCTTTCTTTATTCTCATTAGTTGCTCAGAGATGAAATGAGTCTTTTGTCAGGAGAAACTAACGTTTGAATAATCTTTTGCATTATATCCTTCCTTCTAAACACTTTTCCCCCTTGGTTTCCAAGACACTCATCTCATAGTTTCCCCTCCCAGACCTTTTTGTGCCTAGTTCTCAGTCTTCTTTGCTGAACCTTCTTTCTCTTCCTGATCCTTCCATAATAGAGACAAAAATTAAAATCACCACAATACTACTGTGATTTATTGAAAGCTTATTTATGTGCCAGTCGCCTTTCAAATGCAGTATCTCTTTAATTCTCATAGCAATCCCATAAGATAGCTATTACTTTATAATTACTATGAATATTATCATTAGTTGCCACATATTCAGATGAGGAAACAGGCTGGAAAATTAGGAAACTACCTAGGACCAGTTAGTAGTAGAGCCAGGGATGAGAAGCTTGGCTAACTGACTCCAAAGGATGCGCTCCTTGCTTGGGTTAGGTCTCAGGTACACAGTACCCTGTGATGTAGGTACTATCACAATCTGCACATGATGCATGAGGAGCCTGAGGTCTACACACATGGAGTGATTAGCCAAACATCATAAGAGCAAATATGTCACACACAAGAATGGATTCTTTAAGGAACACTTGTTTGACAGAATGGAGGCTTTTTTCTACCTTCTACTTCTTTTACTCTGGGTTGCAACTTGCTGACCTACTGCCTGGCAACCATCTGCCCCCACCCCAACCCCCCCTACCCTCCCACACCTCCTTCAGTTGCATTATCACATTCTATTTGAGCACTAGGTTGTTTCCTGTCTTTGCTTTAGGTGCAAATGGTTGTGAATTTAACACCTGTAAGAGGAGATAGCAGCAAAAGTCAGAGGGGAAGGGATGAATTGTTCAATTAGTGGTGCTTGCTAGGGGAACTTCAGTATCTGACTGTAAAAAAGATGTTTGTCTCAT